GCTGAGGAAGTCAATCTGCGTAGCTCCTTTAGATCTGTGATTTTAGCAAGCGTTGCCAGCTCTTCTAGATCTGTCGATGATGAGAGTCTACGAAGTTCTTCATGATGAGAGCCATTCGAATATGATGATTTTCGAGAGGGTTCATTACTCCTGGTACGGGACTGCTCACTATTAACTGCAGGGAGACTAGTTGATGAAGTAACCAGTCTCACCTCCCTGTTATCCTCCTTTTGGTCCTCCTCGTAACTGTTGAACCCGCTGTCCTGTGCAGCCGGGAACCTGGGAGGTAACGGCGGAGGAGAGCGGTAACCGTTATTGTTCCGGGCAAACAGTGGAGGGCAGGTTGAGTTGGGATTGTATTCCTCCAGTGTGGTGTCGGAGTATTCAGAGTCGTTAAAAAGAGAGGAGAAAGTATCACATGAAGTTGTGGGTGATAGTAAAGGAGCTAGGGCTACATCACTCAGATTCTTGCACAGAAGAGCACTGACACTGTGTTGTAACTCGCTACATCCGCCTGGTGAATTCATCTTTAGGGTTAACGTAAGAAAAGCAGAATAAAATAACAATAATAGTTAACAATCGATTATGTCAGGAAGATCCCATTCACGGGGTGAGTCACGTGACCGGGTCAGAAGAAACGTGAGCAGCAATTATAACACATGTCTGCAAGTAGGGGGATACCAGCTGAAGCAGCGGGTAAATAGAGCGGGAGATGGGATAAAAAGGAAGAAGGATGAACATTAACCAAGACAAACTGCTCGACTGCTTGTTAACAAGTTTGTAATTACAACAATGAGGCGAGTGTAATTAAACCGTGTGGGGTGTAATTGGCTCTGCGATCCTAGTTATGTCATCATAATTGCCGGGTTTAAAATGTTCTGCTTAGAGATACGACGCAGGTAGGCGGGTAATAGTGCGAGGGTAAATCTTGTGTGGCAAGCATTGACTGAAACCAAATACCAGAACAGTAGCCAGCGATCATTCATCATTTATTACAAAGTATAAATGTTTTGATATAAGTGCAGCATGTGCCGCCAGATCGGCCAGCTCTTCCGAATTACAAGGAAAAGCAAGATTAAATAGCCCTGGTCATAATCGGATTGAAAGCTCATTGTTCTTTGCCAATTTTTAACTGCGAATCATCAAATCGTTGCCAGTTGATACCAAGTTTGTTTATCAGAATTAACACGTTCAATTAAGATAAATTCAGTCCCAGATTCACGACGCTGTCCACATATAGCAGCGTGTATCTGCATCAATGTTGATACAACTATAGAACTATCAATTGGTACAACTGTTAAATTAGTTATCAGCGATTTTGCAAACCATCGTTTTCCCGCCTGGCTATTAGGTCATATCTGAGATTTTACACCGATGTTGACAGATTTCACGTTGCAACAGGTTGTCCATATATAAACTAATAAACGTGAATGGACCAAATACCTGCCAACTATTCTGGAGAAGGTTGAAATATCTGGAAAACTGCCTTTCTAGAAAAATGGATATTATATATCTGGAAAATAGCTTTTTCCAGAAAATTTGATATAACTGCAGACTATGTGGCACTAAAAGTTTATTAATACCAACAGTGGATTTAAATTATTAAAAAAAAAGAATTTCGGGACGAACGACCAGTCACCAAACCATTATTTATAAAAAAGTGTCATAAACACGCAGACGAGCAATGTGAGTAAAACAGACTCGGTTAAAGTAAACTCTGTCGTAATACAGACTTAAATTAAGCAAACTATTTTAACAAACTGATTCTTTGTAAAACAGACTTAAATTAAGCAAACTATTCTGTATTCTAATCAAACTCGTTTAAAGTAAATTATTCTTTAATACACTTTTAAATTACGCAAATTATTCTACTAAATTGGGTTTCTGTCATGGTGATTCTCAGTAAACACGAAGAGCATGCTGGAAAGTGTCATCGGCAGAGTTTATACTTTTTCGGCTCGAACAAACGATGAAAGTACGCTCTAGTTCCAGGAACTCGAGCTACTAAAATCAAACATTCGTCTCACTTATCGTATTGCATTGACGTGGCTTCAATCGACTAGCCTGCCTTAGTATTAAGAACTTGATGTTTCACAGTGCGTAAGTAAATACAAATCTAAGTATAACTAACAAGGCATTTAAATACGCACAACTAGACAAACAAGTCAGCAGATATTATAATAATATCATCGAATGCGAGCTAACTATTATAACAGAAATCGAGCGATAATTCCAGGGTACAACTTTTAACTGCGAGCCTGGAAGCTGAGTGGAAGTCACCTTCCTGTGACCTGTAAAGATAGGGGAATGTACTGCTGTTTCCAGGAACCCCAGTCACGTGGTGTGACGTCATAACACGTGGTGTGACGTCATAACACGTGGTGGAAGAAGCGGGCTCGTTTATGAGAAGTTGGTGTTAAACAGTCGGTCTCTGCAGTGGTCCTGGCGTACAATTTGCCAACTTGTGTCGCATGAATTGAGGAGAAGTGATATTCGATCTTAACGCGGGAATTTATATTCGTCGAAAAGTTAAGGAAAGAATGCACTACTTTCAGAAGGATATTGTAGATGGTGTCCGTAAAATGCCAGGGTGTACCAGGAACAACTGGTAAAAACAGGACCTCTGGAATATGGTCGGGATTTAACGTAAAAATATAGAAGGTTAAAGTTTAAGTTAAAAAAGTCACTCAATTATGAAACTTGTCGGTGCGACAGCTAAGCTGCTAAGAACTAAATAAATGTTACGTATATCGTACAACGCGTTTTAATTGTAAGGTTGACAGGGAAAACGGTATACAAACTAAGATATGCAATTTATTTAGCCTTTGACAGTTCCCGATGGGAATGTTGAAACTTTAAGAATGGAGAGGTTTTAACGATCAACAGTCGGAGCAGAAGAAAGGAGGAAAAGTGAGAAAAGGCGGGAAAAGGCGGGAAGCTCTTTGGCAGTAATTAAAAATCTACAAGCCAAAATAAAGTGATTTTAACACTCGACGTATTAAAGTAGGAAGTAGAATTGAAGAATAGTTTGGCAGACAGTCGTAAGGGTAGGTCCCCACGGTTACCAAGGATAGATTCCCAAGGTTACCAGCTACAGGTATGCACTGTGCGTAGTTGGAATTCCTGATCCGGCCAGCAGGGTACAGACAGTTGCTGCACTATGTAAAGAGACGGAGGTGCGAGGTGCATACTGCCGCGAGTAACAGGTTAACAAGTTCAACTATTCCAGGTTAACAGGTCGGTGCTGCTGCGGTGGGGTAGGGAGAGTTCCGTGTTAAAGTGCTGTTGTTAGGGGTTTACTTGTTAGTAAACATTACTGTGCGACAATTGAGGGTCTCAGTATTATAAATAAAATGAGCAGTGGGATGGAGGGTACACTATCCTTATCGCCAAAGTACTACCTCCCCCCCGGCCCCAGCTGGGGTCCGTAGAAGGAGATTTATATGGCACATGAGAAACACTGAAGATAATATTTATGAAAAATCACATAAGTGCCCTGATCTAGACAGAACAGCGGGTATTGCACACAGTTCCCAAATGCTTGAGTTACAGGACAAAGCACACAGTTCCCAAATGCTTGAGTTACAGGACAAAGCACACAGTTCCCAAATGCTTGAGTTACAGGACAAAGCACACAGTTCCCAAATGCTTGAGTTACAGGACAAAGCACACAGTTCCCAAATGCTTGAGTTACAGGACAAAGCACACAGTTCCCAAATGCTTGAGTTACAGGACAAAGCACACAGTTCCCAAATGCTTGAGTTACAGGACAAAGCACACAGTTCCCAAATGCTTGAGTTATAGGACAAAGCACACAGTTCCCAAATGCTTGAGTTACAGGACAAAACACACGGTTCCCAAATGCTTAAGATACAGGACAAAGCACACAGTTCCCAAATGCTTGAGTTACAGGACAAAGCACTCAGTTCCCAAATGCTTGAGTTACAACAGACAGCTTCTAGCCTACTTGCTGGTCAATGCACACCTTAGTAATCAAGAACAGGCAAGAAATGCGTCGAACCTTCAACAAAGTCAGTTTAATAATTATTTTAAAATTGGCCGTCAAACAAAACGACAAATACTCCCCGGATCAACAAAGTAGCGCTCTTATTACAACGAACACCAGAAAACGTAGACAACACGCACTAAAGACACTAGGAGGGGCAGGTAACGTGTTGTTTGAACCATCACAGTTAGTGGAATAGATCAGGTTACACGGTCAATCCTGATGATGAACAGTGAACACTTGAGGCTGACACAATTAGGAGATGTGTGACGTGTGTCAATCTGTTTCAGGCGGGATACCAGATATACCCGCTCAACAGGTGACCTCCTGTTGTGTTTTCAAGGCCCGAAACCAAAAATTCGCTGCGGTCGATCTGAAGATAGGCCGAATCGTGAACAAATGCAAATGAAAAGTTGGGTTCATTAAAAGGCTGGGCAGCCCATTCTTTGATTAATCATGATATTGCTTGTGAATGTCGTAACAAGAACATATCTATAATGTGAATAATCAGACTTACACACAGTCCGCTACAGCACCAGAGATACCATTATATCTCACAACGTCCACTAAATATGTAATGCTACAGTTTATCACGCAGAACAGATTAGCGAGATCCGGGAGAGAGAGAAACCGGACAAGGTTTCACATAAATTTCACGGATTATGTACAGATTCGCAAACCAACAAAAGTTGTTGTTTAATAATTTGTCATTAGTCTCGTGATAATTCATCAGTGTATCGTCACGTGACAGCGCGCTGGCGAGTGAATCAGCAAAAGCCTTCTCTTTTAACGGATATTTCTGCGTATTAGCATTTATAAGTACGTACGTAAATTTATATATAAATTTGACTGATCGCTATACTAAATTTGATAAGGAGGTTTCGCAACGCGGCTGAAAATATTCAGAGACCCCCCCCCCCCCCCCCCCCAAAGCATATAATTAAAGAATGTCGCCCCCTCCCATCCAGAGTCTCATAGTAGTATGTTAACTCACAATAGGACCATTAGAAGGAGCCTCGAGATCCTGGTTGATCCTTAACAACTCTGTCTTGATCCAGGTTCTTCGCCCGCCACTCTGAGGGGAGCATGTGGTTAGTTGGTTTATTAAAAGGGGGTTGCAACCCAAAAAAAAACCTTTAAAATCCTTTAAAAACTTTACCCAAAATGACGGTATGTTAAGGTTTGGTTTTTTTCCGAGAAACCTTTCGTCATAAATCAGTCCATAATATTTAAACACGACAACTTATTAGCCATTATTCGATAATGGCAAAACGTTTTCCAGTGGAAAAAACACCCTTCCTATCCAAAACCTGTCAATTATTCTGTTTTGAGAGTAGAACAAGATTAAGTTTTTTTGAACCAACTATTATCATTATTATAATAATTCGAATTATCACAGCCTTAAAAACGTAAAATTAACATTGAAAGTCGTCGAGGATCTTAAACATAACGTACACTTGAAGTTTTTAGCGGGAAAACGGGCGGGTAAAAAGACAAATCGTGTTCAATCATGGACATTGACTTTGGTCTCTGTCTAATCTTGCTCAGTCTGTCTCGAGGACGGATCATGGCTCCAAGCTACTAACACTGCACACATAATGAGGAGTCAAACAACTAGTATCTACAACTAGTAACTAGTGACTAGTGACTAATACTGCCCCACAAACCACAATATTATACACGATTATAATATCCTGCTTTACAGTATGGTAAATACTGTTCCGGATATGCAAACTATGTGTAATATGCTGTGTTCTTCACTAGGAAGTGAATAATAATGGTTGTTTTGAAGCTGGCAACAAGCAGAACAAACCAACGGGACAACATATTTGACGTTAATTCTGTCAAATAAGTAATTTAAAAAGCCTTAGTAAAAGTAAAGATGACATTTTTAACGTATTTAAAAGTACGAGGACGAAAAAACAGGATAACTGGCCGGTTATCAAATACAAATACTCAAGTACCAGCCGAGTAGATAGGCCTCAACACTATATAGTAGTTGTAAAGCAGGCAGCTCACTGAAAACAATTACTAATTAATTAGCTCCTCTAGAAACCCAATCCAGAAGTGGGGGCCTGAAGCGCAGGTAAAACTCACGTCCTCGATATAAACGTTGAGCAGGTCCGGTTGAGCTAGGATGGAGACCAACTCGCCCTGGTCCAGTTCTACGTCCTCGGTTACGTATCCTGCTACCATTACACCCGTGCCTAGAGGGGTTTGGTTTGTTAACAGCAGTTGATGATTATAGCTGTGCTGTGTTCCAGGCCCAAGCTGTTGTATGAGGAAACGAGTGATTTGTAAAAAAGTAAACGCAAATGATAAAAAGTGCGAATTTACATTATGTAAACGGAGCAAAAATGATTGAGAAGAAGAGGATGTTATGATGATACATATTATATTATGATGTCAGGCTATATCTGTATAATAGAACCATGCACTAGATAATATGTTTCGTCAGTACGGGTGTGGCGTCATGTTAATAGGCTAATAGCTGTTAACAGGTAATCAGTACATTAGTCAGGTATTGAACGAACAGACAAGGTCTACTTACAAAGAGGTTTGGGGTCTACAGTAGGAAGTGCTGAGCTTGGGGGAGGCGCTGAACCACTGACTTCCTGAAAATATTATTGTAACTAGCACAGTATAAGGAATGTGTACTGAATCAAACTACTTTTGGAGATATTTTATTAACATAAACTAGACTTTAGACCCTGGATCATGTCAAGAGATCTCAAATTCGCGGCCTTATTCCAGCACAAATTATATTTTCAAAATCTTTAAGCAGGAACTGTACCTTAATCTCCTCGTCTAGAATCTGAATGTAGTTCCCAGGGAAGATTCCCGTTTTCTCGCCGATGTTCCCACGGAACCACTCTCCAAGCTCTTCAGTGACTTTGACAACATCGCCAGCTGAAAAACTCAAGTCTCCTTCGACGTCGGAGTGGTAATCGTACATTGCTATAACTTCTGAAATACCTTCGTTTTAGAAATAATTTTAGATGAATACTTTCATGAACTTCATTAAGCTGGGAAGTTAATAGAATTAACAAGATTTTGAATATGGGCCAAAACATTTTTTAGACCGGACCTTTCAAAGATTCCGTACCCTGTGGTGACATGCCTTAAGTGTATTACTTAAGTCTGAATCATTGTTTGAATTTCAATGATTTAATACTAATAAGTGTATGTCTGGTGTACATTATAAACAAGCTTATTCGCGTATCGAACTGCAATTTCCGGTCATTCACTCTACTCATCGGTATGTTGTTGTTGTTGGCAAATAAATTTGGCGCCGAGCGAATATCAGTATGTGCAAATGCGAGCAATTGCAAAGCCGTCAACTTTTACTGCAAATTTCTTATCCGCGCGCTCCATAATAAGTAACTGAAAATGACCATTTGCCACTGTACAAACTGTGAACTGATCGCATTATCGTTGATCCTAATCACATTTGAGACCTTTTGTTGTCAAACCTTTGTCAATGTTAACGTCCCCGTATATCCATTCACATTTTTCCACGTGATTGAGAGCAACGAGGCCAGTTCTTCCCGCTAGTTCTCCGTAATAATAACTTCCTCTAACTTCATACACCTGAACGAAAATTAAAACATTAATTAATTAATAATTTAATTATTCGATAGATGTTCAAAGTTTGCAAAGTGCGATTGAACACTGCGCATTGTGATGACCAATGTAAAGAATAATATGCTCTTCCGCGAAGAAAAATCTAAATTTATCGCAATCGGCACTCAAATTTCTCATAAATATCGGCGAATAGAATTACAAAACAATGCTAATACAATGCTAATGTAATGAAAACATTCAATATTATATATATTTCTATAAATATTTACCGATATTCTGATTCCTTTGGAGAATGATAATTCATCTACCGTAGCTCCAATGTAATCAACCAGAGTCTCCACTTCGAACAAGATCTCTGAAAATAGGTTATAAGTGAGAAATGAAATATTTAGAAGAATTTAAGCCAAATTTAGCAATTTTCTGGAGAGCATGTTTCGAGAGAGATCGGATAACTAGATTTTTTAAATTCGACAGTTAGAATTGTGAGGGATATATAAACATTTCTATCCAAGTTTTATACTTTTATCATTTATGTGTATCCAAGTTTTATGTCTGTCCAAGTTTTATACTTTTATGTCTGTCCAAGTTTTATGTAAATCTAAAACTTAAGTAGCCTGTACGTGATTTTGTGTATTCCTCACCAAGTGGGATGTGGTGGGAAACAGTGAGATCTATAGTGTTTGGACTCAAATGATTACATAAAAGTTTACAAGAAAACAATTAACTTTGTGACATGTATTTCTCATCACAATAGAAACACTACTAATTGGTTAGACGCAGACCGCATGCAAGCAGACAGTTCACTTCTGCACTTCTGCAGTTCTGCACGCTAATTGGAACAGCACTAAGTAGACAGCACTAATTGGGACAGCACTAATTGCTCTTTATCCTGTAGCTGTCCTCAGAAGCCCACAACTGCGAACTGCAAATACAAAATACATTCCGTGCTAAATATACGATACATTCCGTATATTTAAATTACATTTACACATAATAATTAATATACTTACACAATACACATAGATTAACTATACACATAGACTAACCAATTACTATACACATTTATTTACGACCTAAATTTACCGAGAAGAAATATAACCTTTAACTAAGGATTTAAAACTTACTGTCATTGGTGATTTGAGCGAAAGCAAGAACACTCTTCAGCGCAGAAGTCAGCATCCTCTGCTGCGGATTACGACTGTTATCCAAGTTCTTATTCTTGTTTTCTGAGTACCTCTTCAACCCGCCAGGTTTCAACTTCTCACCGTCGGGCGGTGTTGAGAGCCTCTTTTGGGCGGAGGTCTGTTTACTGACAGGCACACTAAGCGAGGTGGTGTCCAGGATACGATTGTGGTGTCTTTTGGGGACTTTTGGAGTTCGTTTGTTGGATTTACCACCACTCCGAGTTGGGGTGACAGGGGGATTGTTGGGAGCGACGTAGCATTGTGTACCCGATCTAACTATTTTGATACTTCGTTCGGCTGTTTTAGGATGCTCAACAACCGGCTCGGGGACAAGTACCGGCTTGACTGGTTCTATAATAACATCAGATTCTATATCTGAGAAATGGGTGGGGATCCGGTTTCGGTTCATAGTAAATCTGTCCTTGATTCTACTTTTCCTGGAGCTGTCGGACGCGTAGCTCTCTCCATCAGACGAGAACACCGACCTTGCACGTTCGTCTGAGGAGGCACCATTATCGGAAAACCCGAGGGAGCTTTTCCGATCCCTGACTTGCAAATTGAGTTTGGATTTACTTGTAACATCTAGGTAGGTTGAGGTTTTTGACCTCATTGAGAGTTGTTTTCTGGGTACTTTTGATTCAGTTGATGACTCCATATCTGAAGCTGATGCGGACGAGAGATTTCTCGATCTTGTTTTCTTCTTCCGGAAGGATTTCTGTCTCTTGAAAGAGCTCTGACGTGATAGAGACTGCTGGGGTTTAGGAGTCTCTGAATCGCTGGACAGAATATCTTTAGGTACTTGTAGAGTATTCTTAGGGTGCTTCTCCGCAGGTGGTTTAATATCCCGGTCTGAGAATACATCTGAGTCTGAGAACATCCCCTCTTCTTTTGTAGGATCCTTTTTATCAGTATCCAGTATAGTATCTATGATTGATTTACAGTCTGCCAAGTGCTCTAAAGTTGTCTCAATACTCCCTCTTCTTGCCCCTTTTGACCTCGACCTTGGTTCGTCGGGTTTTGGTGGGTTTATGACGATGTCTTTTGTCACAGAATCTCTTGCAGAGAGGTATTCGAATGAAGAATCACGGTCAAGTGGAGTTCGTGAAACTGGCCGCTTTATAAGTGCACGCATACGATCTTTAGTTGTAGTAATCTTAGGACTATTGGGTGGAATGGGTTCTTCTGGTATCTTGGATTCAGATTGTTCATTGCTAATACGGCGTTCATACAGCAACTTATTGACCACTGAGTCTCTGTTACTTTTCTTGTGATTCACGGACTTGACCTCCGAGTAGACTTCTAGGAGCACGTGACCCATTGCACAGATCAGCGAGCTCAGTGCATCACTATCCTTTACTCCAACAAGCAATTCTGTTAACTTCATACAGGAAGCAGGAAGTCCAGAGTCGCAAGCGGCAGACTTCCTCCGGTTGATTTCTTCTGTGTTTGAAGCAGTCATGTTTATTGAGTCAGATTTCTTGATTTCATCAAGTGTAGGATTCCTTCTATTTCTCATGTAGGGAGGATTGTGGGTGAATTGAACGATCAATAAATACTCAAGACTCGCACATTACGAGTAACATAAGGTTACGAGTAAAAAAACGTGACAAATAAAAACTGCGTCGCGAAAGAAAAGATGATGATCTAAGAAATCGGGTACTCTAAATCTCATTAACAATTATACCGTATGAATATACACATACACCTCTGTGATTCCTCTGAATATTATGCCAGATCATTTTCCTGGTGAGGCCTGCAGATTAGGATACCTTAACTATCTGAGGTAAAACACTGGGCCAGAGTTAGTGGCTTGTACTATAATACCATATTGCACTAGTCGTTATTATATTCACACCTATTATATTACAGATATCATCTCTCGATATGAGAAGGACAGATCGACCAGGAAATGTTTTAAAGGGAGTCAGAAAAGATTAGGTTAGGTGTGTAAAACTAAGGGTATTGGAAACAACTCAGTCAACCCTGAGAATCATTCTACTGCCTAGATATACGACCAACATTGTTTCAATACAATTATAAATAAGTTTGACAAGACAAAGATGATAGTTTTAATTAAATTGAAATGCTTAATGCGATCAAAATGTAGAATGAAAGGCCTTGAGTAGTAAAAGTCACGTTTGAGAATCTTTGGATGACTTTGAGGAATCAGATATCTGAATCTGCTCAATACTAAAAGAAACAAGGCAACATAGAATCCACAGCCATAACAAATTAACAATTGGTCGTGAGTTCCATGAAACGCGAACAAAATAAAATAACCAGATGTCAACAATCTGAGTACAAATCGCTGGAACACCACTTACTCACTTATGACACTGAGCTCAGGCCAAAGGAAAAGAAAACAGTTCGCCAAAAGAAATGGTAAGATGCCCGCGAATGAGGTGGGTAGTGTACAGCAATAAGACCTTTTTGGGGCAAGTGCGACACATTAGTACGAACACAAGCATCAGCTACAGAGTGCAGTATTTCAAATCAGCCCCTTTTTAAAATAGCAGGTTCAGTATCAGTCCTTGGATTGACCTCGTTCATTGTGGTCGAAATAACGAAGAACAATACCCTATACCGGAAGAGATAGTGCGAGTGCATCTTAACAATACTGTTGCACAATGGTCATCAGCGGTGAACGATAAATGGTGATGGGAGCCTTTCAGAGCAAAGAACTATCAACAACTGTACCATCTATAAACCGGCAAAATTGTGATGACTTGGAGTCGAGCTGCTTTATCAAAAATCAAATACAGCCAGGAGGGTTTGGACTATATATGGACCACGATCGCAATAGCATACTAGGGGAGAGGTTTACCAATCAAATTCATTTCCACGCATCAAAAGAAATACAGCAAACCCGCACCTCAAAATCTATTGATCACAAAGGCAATAGATTATGTTATGTATCAATCAAAAAGAGTCCCTTGAGTAGGTTATATATGTTATAATTTATGTAAGTTATATAAGTTATAATTTACAGCAACAAAAGAAAACTGCTCCAATGCGAAAACACACAAAAATATTCACAACGTGACTTCAATGTAAATAACGTGACTTAATGGACACACAGCGAAGCAGCATTGGTGTTTTTAATGTTAACCCCCACTCTATAATCAGGTGGTATAACACATTGAATACCTGTACATCAGATCCAACAATCAAGGTGCGTTAAAGAGAACTTTTATATAGTAGAGCAGTAAATACAGTTGTAGTTTTTAGAGAGTTAAAGCCCCGCCAACGTCACCACCCACCCATATATCAAGTCTTTAAATAGACAATTATACAAGGACTGATTATCGTTCTTTCGAACATCAGAACTTGAAAATTATAAATCTTTGAAGAAAACACCCCTTTAACTTTGTTCGTAAGCTAATTTCAAGCATCTAACTAAACCAGGATAACTGTACCAACACTAGATCATGATTCATGATAATGATGGGTGCGAGGAATCTACATCACAATTGTGAGAGTCAGGACACGTGACCCGAGGATCCAGGGGGTGAGGCCCCTGTAATTACCAGTCACCACATGGCACTGCACCTGCACCCTCAATACCACTGTTTTTATGGTGGGTACACCGAAGAGAAAAATACGAGAAGGAGAGAGAAAACATGTATCATACAGACGATAAATGGAACGGTCACGGGTCACCAATCACAGACAGTTTAGAAAATAGTGGACCACATGAAGCAGGACGAGAAGGTTGCGAAATGTTGGAGGAAGGACATGATGCATACCAGATCATTGTTTTGGCCTCAGTGGTATCAAAGTATCAAGAACACCAGATCGTTGTTTCGGGCCCTAGACTGTAGGATCAAGCCACCGGCCGTTAATTAACAGAGACTAAAATCGCCTGACAGAGAGTTTCGATTATACGTCACAAGTAGTCCGTACTATAGTATATAATGGAACTCCACCATCCTCAGAGGGCAGCGGGAATCGGGTGCTGCTCGCTTTAAGTGAAATTAAGCAACTATAAGTTGAAAACTCGACAGCGAATAAAACCCCTGAATCAATTACACAACATCACACAAACAGCTGTACAACACGTTCATTATACTAGCAGGAACCCGTATAACCCTAAATTGGTGTCAAGACTCAAGAGACTAAAATAACTATTACCTATTTAATTCGCGTTTTTGACACCACTTGGGGGTGCAAATTTTGGGCTCTAAAACTCCTATTCCTTGGCCAATTTTTTATTTTTTCATGCTGATTTGGAGGCCATTAAAGCATTTGACCCAGTCAAAAAAGTTTCAATTGTATATCTTTTACGGTTTTTGCGGAAAGTCGCATTAAAGTTGATGCCGTGGTGTCAGTAAAATGGTACGGATAAACACATCCATATAATATATCGTCTCGCTTTATATATAGTAAGATTGACGAGCGTGAAAACAAAGAAGCAGTAAACTATAACCGATTAAATGAATCAGGGGACAGGGGCCTAGGTAGAGGACCTGTGTAGAGGACCTGGGTAGAGGACCTGGTAGTAGGTGGGAAGAGGAAGGGTACCGGACAACTTGATTACTTGGGCAAAACAACTTCATTACAAATTATAATTTCATTATCAGGCCTCATCAATATATTTTGTAATAAACTTAACTGCAGCGCATGTAAATTGTAAACTGTCTTTCTTATGGATAAGCAGGATTTACACTATGAATATTGGATATTATCACTATATTATATGGTAATGAATTATGATTACTATAATCAGTAGTCAATGACTAGACGGGGTTATAGCAATGAAAAACATTACGGGTTTTTATTGTTTATCTCGTCTCCTAATAAATTGTCTTGAATTTAATGAATAACCCGTTAACTTGAATAAAATTCAGTGTTTTATACGTATTTATACGTTTATAAACGTTAAATGAATTGGGAGAATATGAAATTATACGAAAAGTCAGCTAGCAATAAAGAAGACGGCCAGTGCAAGTAATTTCATTGATTTAGAATCTAGATTTTTAGGGACTAAAACGAAAATGATTTACTTGAACTGGTTGTCAGATCTCCTGTTACATTCAGGTGCACTCTCAAAACTAATCATTGCTATTCTCCATCTCCAGTCTTTAAAGCAATAAAAATAGGAAAATACACAAAATGCACACAACGGTTCATTCACACTAAGAAAACCGGCTGAGCCAGAAGATAAAATGTGTGAGCTTTAAACATTGTAGAGAAAGGGACCCGCATTGAAGTGACGACAAGAAATTATATTTAATCTAGTGAATAAACTCCGGCTAATGAACTGCTAATTTTTACAGTTAAGTATATTCACACCACTCAATATTCGGGAGAGATCAAATTAATATTTCTATAAATATTCACACAAATACAACATTCTAAAAGCTTCTTTTCAAAACATATGATTTAAAGCTAAGCAAAAAATACGCAACAAACTCACAACATTTTCTCATTTGATTATGATTGTAATGTTAATGATTTACACATCGCTAAGTACTGAATATTCAACTTATCACATTAAATACCACATAAGCCATCTAGGAGCACCAATCTCGGAGCACCAAGCTCTCTGGACAATGGATATAACCTAGTGATATGTCACGTGACCGAGCATTATTTTCATATTTTATTATTATGCTCAATCCCCAGTAATATGCTTAGGGCAAGACACCTAGTCTATAAGATAAACCATCAGATTAGTTTATCCTCGAACAAAAGCAGCTATCCTTGGACAAAAACCTACTAGTATCCTTACGATATCAAACAAGTCAAAGTAGCCAAAATTAGGTCAAATATGGCACATACCCCGCCAATCACTGCTAAGAAGGTGGGAAGGTTCACAACCCTAATTCCAGGGAAATGTTCTGTTATTAAAATTAACACCTCTATTTTCCGAATTCTTGCAGAAATCCGGAAATTAGATGGAAATAGATTTTAGTGTTACAGTGAGCTAGTCATTATATTTGCAATCGCAGTGATATAATTAACTTAACGGAAAAAAGAAAAGAATTGGGAGTACCTTGTTTAAGATGGAATCAATATCATGAATATAATGTTTCAGAGAAATATAATGTTTCAGAGAAAATATAATGTTTCAGCGAAAAACTAGAAAAAACCCCCAAAAAACTCCTCCGCAATTTGCAGTAATCCGATAGAAACAAAACAAAACTATGTTCGACATAGAATGAGCAGTTCAGAAGAAGCAGCTATAAACTAATCAGGCACTATAACACAATAACTATAACTAATAACATTGAATATCGCATACAAAGAGTCACGCACTGATGCAGGCGGAAGTGAAATGATTGGAAAGGTCTCAGATCCTTGATCCGCCTGTAACTGGCTGGTGTGTGCTGGGTACGTGAGATCACTGGAGGACGACAGCGATTTAATTTAATGAAGACTACCAGGAAGATTACCAGGAAGATTACCAGGAAGATTACCAGGAAGATTACCAGGAATATTACCAGGAATATTACCAGGAATATTACCAGGAATATTACCAGGAAGATTACCAGGAATATTACCAGGAATATTACCAGGAAGATTACCAGGAAGATTACCAGGAATATTACCAGGAATATTACTATACCAGGAAGATTACCAGGAATATTACCAGGAATATTACCAGGAAGATTACCAGGAAGATTACCAGGAATATTACCAGGAATATTACCAGGAAGATTACCAGGAAGATAACCAGGAAGATTACCAGGAAGATAACCAGGAAGATTACCAGGAATTCCTGTCTAATCTGGCGCAGAAGTATATAGTTTCTATAAAAAACTATATTACATATAAAAAATAGAAACTATTGAAGGGATCCGTTTCTAAGAGGATTCGAGTCTACAAGGGATCCGTTTATATTAATTTTCTGTAGATATTTATTTAATTTGATAACTGACAAAAATAGTGCCGGCACTATTATCAGTTTGATAAATTATTATCATAACATTTCTTAAGCCCCTCTTCATCTTATGAATATGAGTACTGATTCTAGGCATTGTTAACTGTTATGCAAATAATCCTTAAATCTGTTTCGACTATATCTTAATTATAATTCGAAAGATTATCTTTGTCTGCCTGTGCCCTGTATATATGTACGACCGCCCACGATGCGATATAAACTGACCAAAGAATACTATTAGCTTCCTCCCTGTGACCACGGGCTTTCTACTTTCTAGTCTATACTATAATTCTGAAGATTATTTCTGTTTGTACGACCGCCCACGTGCAAATTAGATGAGAAATATAAAGTTAGGTAAAAAATCAAAAGGTTGCATAGCAATGGTGTTTGAATGAGCACGTGCAATGATTGTTGGACGGAATTTTGATCGGTTTTGTGGTAATTACGTTGTGTTTAGAGTGTCGAATGTCGATTGCATTATAACCGGCAGTATCTTCAGTTAGGATGGATATTTTTTGATACGATTAAAACTTTTCTCAAAGAATACTACTAGCTTCCTCCCTGTTATCTCGGGCTTTTTAGTATTTCGACTAGATATATTATATAATATCGATGTTCATTTTGAATTATTATAACATTCAACCCACGCCGTATACTCGATATACTTACATAATTGGACCACACAAACGGATGTACAGAAAAATACGCACAGACTTATTACACTTACAATTAACTAATTTAATGAAATATGGTCATTACAAGATTGATTTGGTGGAATCAGGGGGGTTTACCTGTTGGTTTCTTCAGGCAGCTGCTGGCTAATGCGTAGATATGATCTTCCGTCTGCAATACATTTTTAATAAGAAAGAAGCAGCCAAGACACATTTCAAAACGGACCAAACGACAAAGTAAGTAAATCTAGGTTGTGTAGTGTGCAACGTAGAGATCTTGATAGTATATTTCACGACTGTACGTGTTGTATTGATAATATAACAATGATTGACATTAGTACATTCGGTGAATGAGACTACACGGAGCTCTTCACAATCGACCGATTGTGAAAACATTACATCATATTATAGCTTTATAGCCGTGAGAGTCGTGGGAATTGTTTTAAATAACCGTTTATTGTTTGTACCTCCTCAATGTTACTTGAAGTCACAATGTTGCTATCTGAATCATCCACCAACGGGCCGATCTGATCGCAGTTCGTTGCACTGTAATGACCGGCGTTTGTTGTACTATAATCCGATGGTGGTTGTGCCCTGTTCTCTGTTGGCCCAGGGTCGGGGGATCGGGAACTCAATAAACCAGACGGGTCAACATTCATGTAGATACTGTAGGGTAAGTAGGATAAGTGTGTAGAATAAGTGTGTAGGATAAGTGTGTAGGATGTGTAGGATAAGTGGCATTATAATGAAAGTCGTTATCCGTTAAAAATGATTGATCATAGAACATAATATCATATTACGTAATCATGTTCATTAAATGTAATTACCTAATTATATAATTACCTCTCAGGTTCTTGATAATCTTCATCATTCCACTCATCATCAACCACCTCCCCACCCGGCGCCTGGTAGATAATCTCAGGCTGATCAGCTTGTTCGTCTGACTCCAACTCCATACTCTTCTCTCCAACTTTCTGTAGCTGCTCCGTGGTTGGAAACAAGTTTAGGAGTTGTGCGTTGTTCAGGTTGAGCTCTGCTGCAGGTGATTTAGGAGGATTCTGTCCGTTAGTATTGTTGGTAGAGTAATGTGACATATTATCCGGAGTAGTATTTGACTGGGTAGAATAAACTGCCAGATTAGTAGGAGGAGGTGGGGAGGAGAGGATCTCAGTCAGATCAGCGAGGAAGTCTATCCTAGGTTTGGGGTTGGGTCGAGGTGGAGTATCAAGACATATCAGATTATCTTCAACAACAGCCTTCACTTGTGCAGGGAGGTGTCCTGGCTTCACAGCAGGTCTGGTAGTGTTAGGAGGTCTGGTATTGAGCATGTTGTTCATGTTCATTTTCTTTGGGGTATTAGAGGCTCGAGCTTGGAACTGTTCCCGTTCTGAATCATGACGTTTCCTCTCTTTTTCCACCAGTTGTTTTAACCTGCCACGCTGCTCGTCCACCGCTTCACTGGCTAACATCTGGGCAACAGCTGCTTCCTTTAGGTTCTTGTTTGCTTCGTCCGATTTTTCAGAGAGGAATTCATTGAATTTGACCGATTGGAGCCGGATTCGTTCAAAGGAGTCGAGTTCGGGGTCTTTTTCTTCGCTCTTCTTTAATGACAGCTCAATCCTGAAATTTAGACATTAATTATTCTCTTGATAAATTCTTGTCCATAATTATGTTCCATCTTGAAATAACGCTATTTGGAAAACATCTACGATCTTTGATAGATTTTAATTAGATCGAGGTTTGAAAGTTAAAAAAAAACTAAACTCAATAAAAAATTTGTTTCCTACTTCTTAATCTCCTCATTGCGTTTCTGTGTCTCCTCCACCTGGCGCTGTTTCTCCGCCTCCCTCTGGGTACGCTCCACCTCCTCCTGCTGCTCCTTACACCACAGCAGTTCCCGGAGTAGGTTCTCTTTACCCTCCAGCTCCTTCTCCTTCTCCAATACTCGCTCTTGGACGTCCTGACAAATGACAATTAAGTATTTCATTTAGGATACCTAGCAGATTATTATTATAGTATTATTGAGTGGACTATTACTTTCTACAGACGTCAGACACTGTAATCATTGGTCACCTATGTTCACACGGTGAGAATAAACAGTGGGTTTTTGACATGACAATTAGCGAAATGAACAGGTAGGTCAGGACTGTTTTCAGTCCTCCACTCATGTTCTCCGGATTCCGGAAACATGATTATCTTACCGTGAAACCAGTCTGAAGCAGCTCAATCTGACTCTGATACTGGTTAGTTTTACTGACTATGCCAGATCGGGTAGACTGCAGAGATATCACACTTTGTTTTCCCTTTTCTTGTTCTTCCAAGATACTGATCATCATTTCATCTGGTGGAAGGAGAATGGAATGTTACTTGCAAATTCTGAATAGGTAGGGAGAACTGGTAGGTAAGGTATACAGCATACCGAACAGTAAATACTGAACTGTTGACGGTATCGATTATACAATTTAACAATCGAGAAATATTTTCCATGATCTTGTTATGAAGTTGCACAATAATGTATATTATGTTTTATAGTAAAATAGTTTTATGAAAATGACGAGTGGCGGAAGACAATGCACTCATTTACTTTGAACATGTAACAGATCTTAAACATTTTACTTCGAGGTACAGTAATGATAACATTACAGCTGATAACATTTAAATGATAATTACAGCTGATAACATTTAAACTATAAGTGCTCAACCCTAAGTGCTAGGCTGTCTAAGGACATTATATGACAAGCTATATGAGATAACGACTAATGAGCTACTGATCTTACAAATAGCTTAAATTCCTGCGAGTCAATGAAATTAAGATGTAACATTTGTTATATGATCCATATCTCAAAGGTATGAAACGAAGGAAGAGGAAGAAATAGTGCACTGACCAGGATTGCGTCTCGCACGGAGTTGCTGGGATAGTCTTAGTTTATCATTAGTTACAGTTGCGAGCTCGTGCTGAGACGATTGCACTGCCATACGAGCTGAACCAACCTGTCGTGATCAATTAATTAATAAATTATTTAATCAATTATTAATAATTAATGAATCAATTAAATAATTTATAGTCGTCTAGGACCTTATTCTGGCCGAAATGTAACGAGAAATAAAGTTCCCAACCTCCTTTAGTATCTCCTGCCTATGTCGGTTCAGCTTCTCGATATCCTGGTAGATGTTAGATTTCTCCTCAACAAAAGCGTTCAACGTAGCTTTAGCTTTGTCGCGTCTCCCCATCTGGCACATTCTTAGTGTCACACTTTACATTACATTTATTACATTTCTACTGCGTTTGATTAATGAGGACTACTCAATACTCGACTGTGAAAGTTGTACTAGAGCCTACACGGAGAGATTAGATGTGTGCACTGTGTGTGTGTGTGTGTGTGTGTGGAATGTGGTGGAAGTTTATGTGGTATCTCACACACGTGTAGATGTCTGAGTTATAAATACCTCATCAAGTTTACAGAGGGGGGGGTCCAAGGGGAACTTTGGGGAGTTTTGGGGAACTTTTTTTTGGGGAACTTCAGGAAACCTGGGGGACTTTCCCAAAGTTCCCCAAAAAATTATCAATGAAACAAATAATTTTGGGGAATTTTGGGGAACTTTTTTTTGGGGAACTTCAGAAAGTTCCCCAAAATTCCCCAAAATTCCCCAAAATTCCCCAAAGTTCCCCAAAAAAATTATCATGCCAAAAAAATTATCATGCTGCAAGTATCAACAAGTAAGTTAAGATTATACTTTATAATAACATACATGTTAACATTAATGGGTATTAATGTATATTAGAGAAATTTTGAATAATTTTGAATAATTTTGAATAATTTTGAATAATTTTGAATAATTTTGAATAATTTTGAATAATTTTGAATAATTTTGAATAATTTTGGGGAATTTTGGGGAACTTTGGGGAGTTTTGGGGAACTGTTTTTTGGGGAACTTCAGAAATCTTGGGGGACTTTACCAAAGTTCCCCAAAGTTCCCCTTGGACCCCCCCCCCCCCTACAGATTATAACTGTGTTATAATGTATTTTTTATAATATCTATACTAATAATCTCAAGATGTGTGTGTTCGCGTGTAATTTCCGAACGGCTGAATCAAGAAAACGGTAAGAGATATGGGACTGGTTTTTCCCGGTATAGTCCCAACAAAACTCTGACGAAGCCAAATGAATAAGGTTTTTCAAATTGGTCGGTGGTAAGTGGTTTAATTGATCATTTTGTGACCCAAATGTGATACTATAAAGTGTCTCAGTACTCTCCCTCTCTCGCTCTCTCTCTCCCCTCATAACAGATTTGCTATATAATTAGGTAATTTGGCAGGGGACCTCAAGATTGTCCAAGTATTACTTGCTTCGCGCGCGAAAAGAGGTATACAACGTATGTCAAAGTATTACTATAAGATACGTGAGGGGCGCTCAGAATTAAATTGCGGTGTGTTTGGACAGAGCGAGTTCATACTTTCGCACCGTTTTAAATACGAATACGAAAATGTAATGCGTGTTTTCGAATATAAGAATATAATAGGCGGGTTTATACTTTTGAATTTCAACTGCGATAGTCAAGTCCCGGCCGTAGGCACAGGTTACACTAGTATGTATAATGTATAGTATAATATAATGTTGTGTAAAGTATGTAATGTATATAATGTTGTGTATTGAGCATTTCGTAGGCTTGCAATTCATTCTACAAGCCTTTACGCTATAATCTACACGCATTATATACATTAAACAGTATACATTATGTAAAGAAATTGACTACAGCTATTCAATACGGAGTCGGATATAATACAATAAAATCTACGGAATAGAACTGATAAATACAACCTCCAGGCCATAATTTCTATTCATTTTTATTTGTTATTCAGAATAAATCTTATTTCTTATCAGCAATCGAACATGCCTCTACCTAAAGTAAATAGTCTGAGACTTAACAACCGGAGTTCATAATATAAATCCAAGTCTAAAACTCAAAGTTAAAGGTATGTCGAACATGAAGGAGCAAATTAAAGGTGACCATAATACAAATTGTCACATTTCCTTATTTTCCTTTCCCGGCCCCTTGAGACTTGAGTGTTTATGTTAGGGACTAGGAAAAGTTCTTCGTGAAATTTAGCTAATAAAATTACCAGTCTTTAATTACCAGTGTTTAATGAACAGTGAACACTCGTTTGAAATTTTAAACGGATCAAGTATCACCGACCTACATGATGGTGGTAACAGCCGAGTAATTTAAGAATTTACTGTTTGAAATGATCTATTTTGGTAACGTGAGCCTCTGCTCAGTAATCAAACCCTTCTATTATAATAGTCGACAACTTAACACATTCCTGCAGTGTCTGATGAACACTGCTCATAGCTATAGGGGGGGGGGGGGGGGGGGCACAATGCACATAACGAGTTAGCGCTCGTAAACAATGTATTTCATGTATTTGCACAGCTGTTATTCAATGATTGATGGCAGTTTAAATTGAAACCTACACAATATGCCGTTTTGTAATATATAGATAATTACACATTTATGATTTAAGTAATCTTCAGCAATCAGTATTACACATTTACTTTCAAAAATCAGTATTCTAAAATAACAGAAAAAAAATTAAACAAGACATTAGAAAGTAAGGGATTACTAAATTTCAAATCAAGATATAAATTTATCTCACCATATCAGACAACTCCTTGTCAAGTAGAAACTTCCTGGTCCTAAGTCCTGTGGTTAGTTCCCTAAGTCTTGATAACTGCCCTTCTAGCTGCTGTTTTCGTGACTCAGCCCAGGTCTCCATCTTGTTACGGTACAGGGTCTGTTGTACCTGAAGTTGTGACGTTATTTTGTGACGTCATAATATAATATTGTGACGTCATGTTATCCATGTCCGGTGATGTGGCCTCGGTTATTGCCCAATTGCAGCCGTGTGTTGAGATTTGTAAATAAGGCAGTTTACTTTTAGTGGTAGTCAACGTGGCAGTACCGTAATGCTGTATGCCTCTTATAAATTCTTATAATACCTTCCGGGAATTATATCCACTAAAAGTCTCGGACACTGAGAGCTGATAATTTGCCGATATATCCCGCAAGGGAAGCCAAGGTATTATCAGCATAGACCTCAGACTGGCTGGCGGCAAGTTGTAAAACAAATAACACTGGCGTTCTATATATTAGACACTATATTGTATCATGCGCACGTATCGGATTACACTCCTTCCAATTCGGAACCGGAAAATATTATAATACATAATACCTCCGGTTCTTCGGGCCGCAAATTCCCTCCAGCAAGCTGTCGGGAATTATCAAGCGGAGCCCGAAGAGCCGAAGGCATTATTATATTATAACTTTATAACGCGTACATTTACAAATCTTACAGTAAAGATCACATTTCGGCTTGAGCCATTTAATATAGATAATTACATACATAGTACATACAATGTTAGGTTGAGTAAATAATCCCATCTCCCAGGGGAGATTCATTTAATTTTATAATTGTAGCTAAACAGTCTTAATCTAGATTATCTACATTCCTAGCAGAACTAAAAAGAAGCTTACACAACATTCGTATTTAAAATCAAGTCATATTATTCGTCATCTGTGTATAAAGCATCTTAATTAATATAAAGCGAGACGATATTATATATATAATATATATATTATATATTGTATCACAAACAAAGAGAAACACTCAAATTGGCGGGCAAACGATCCGTTTCATGATATTATGTAGAAAACAATACCAATCCTCAGTGCCCTATATCCGTACCATTTTACTGACACCACGGCATCAACTTTAACACGACTTTCCGCAAAAACCGTAAAAGATATACAACTTCAACTTTTTTGACTGGTTCAAATGCTTAAATGGTATGAAAAAAATACCCCATATATTAACCCAAATATTGCCCCAGATATTACCCCATATATTACCTCTACCCCAGATATTACCCCAGATATTACCCCAGATATTACCTCTACCCCAGATATTACCCCAGATATTACCTCTACCCCAGATATTACCCCAGATATTACCCCAGATATTACCTCTACCCCAGATATTACCCCAGATATTATCTCTACCCCAGATATTACCCCAGATATTATCTCTACCCCAGATATTACCCCAGATATTACCTTCACCCCAGATATTACCTCTACCCCAGATATTACCCCAGATATTACCTCTACCCCAGATATTACCCCAGATATTATCTCTACCCCAGATATTTCCCCAGATATTACCTTCACCCCAGATTTCACCCCAGATTTCACCCCAGACATTACCCCAGATATTACCCCAGATATTACCTCTTCCTCCTGTTGTCTCCTCTGAGCAGCCACTTCCAGACTCTTTGTCTTCTGTTTCTGAAACTCGAGCTGTCTCCGGGCTTGTAGCTCTGCTTTCTGTCTATCTAGTTCCTGAGCAGCTGCTACCATCGCTTCCTTGTCTTCCTGAGTTTACAGAAAAAGTGAGTACGTGACACAACGTTACACGTGACACAACGTTACACGTGACACAATGTTACACGTGACACAACGTTACACGTGACACAACGTTACACGAGACACATGAATCTGAGACATTGGTGGCTGGTTTCAATGTGGTTGGTAGGTTAATTTCACATTTGTAAGAAATCAGGCGTCTCCAATTATCGTAATGGAACATGTTCGATCACTTCGATAGTGGATAATTCGAAATACAAAGTTTACTTACGATCTCTTTCCTTTCCCGCTCTTTGATTTCGAGTCGTCTTCTCTCCAATTCTGCTTCACCCTTGTTGAAGTTTTCCTGCTTCTTTTTCTCGAGCGAAGCTGTGATAAACATGACAAGAATGAGTTACTCTTATACTTTCAGATGAGAAGTTTAAACTGCTGACACATCGCACATGATGTAATGATTTTAAAGGTCCCAGCTCAAATTACTGCAGTATAAAAAGCTCGAAATTTGGTTTTTAAATTACTTTTAATACAATTACACTAATCTACATTCGATAAAATTTCGACTTCACCGCGCAGTAATCACTAGTAGCATATTATAATATAACATACCTTTGGTAAAGATGGAGTCAGGTTTAGGGGGAGAAGCTGTCTGGTCTTTAAGGAGATAGTGACGGTATTGTGGAGGAACCAGGGCTGGAGTAAGAGACGGAGGTGGATCCTTCCTCTCTGTGCGCTCTCAACCTACACAAATGATCACTGGTTTTTACTTCGCTATCTTCCGAGCTTGTATTTCGGTTCATCGCAATTTGAAGGTTAAGTTATAGCTAACAACTTAACAGTCTAGAAGCCTAGTAGCTAACTAATCCTCGTATTAACTGTGTATAAAGTGGTATAAAGTGTGTATAAGTGTATAAGTGTGTATAAAGTGGTATTAATCACCACGAAGTTAAAATAACAGGATTGACAAACTAACCAGGTACATGGCAAGACAGAACTCGTCCGCCGAGAGGGACCCCGTATTGGTAATATCTGACAAGTTCCAGATCTGACTGAGTATTGGAGCAGACAGCCCTGTTTGCATGAACTCTCCTCTTACCAAAGATCCTGATAATGAAACCGAACGTAATTTAAAGTGAAACCGAGAGTAATATTTCATGATACTGATAGTAAATCTGGTAATATGAACACTGAAACTCAAGCAGTACTGTCATTATAAGTGATACGAAAACCACACCAAAGTATCAATTGTCCTCTTACATAAACCGCTCTATCTTCTAGATACCTATTAAACACCTCCCCTAGGACGTGAAAACAATGAACACACAGTGACCATGCCACAGGAACTCACCTACTACAGATCCCGTTCTGCGGTTGTCCAGTCTGTTAAAAAGAGAAAGGTACCGTTTCTTGGAGTTCAGATCAACTACCCACACCTCCGAGCTTATCGAGGCAGGTACAGAGGATAAGCTGCTTGCTCCAGCTTTCATAGGGGACATGTTCCTGCCTGCAAACAAACAAACTTTTATTATAAGTTTCAGAGTATATTATGATCAAGTTAATTTTTGAATAGTTTGTATTGTATGCAAATTGTCTTGATATTATCAATATATTGTCAATTGACAATTCAACTATCATGTTACTCATTTCAAGTAATAACATGATTTATCCGTTTAAAGAATCGCTGTTTCGCCAAACAGATAGAGCCAAATTAAGCCCTTGCCAGCCAACACTATATTAATTTACAACTAAATGCCAATACCTTGGTCGGAGGAGAAGGAGGACCAGTTAGCGGCAGCGGCTGAGAGTTTAGTCTTGCTTAAGGAGGCTGTGGACCATTGCTGGGGAGAATTAGCCATCGGTATGGCGTGCATACTGTTAGCTGCAGCAGAGTTAAGGCCCCTCTTGAAGTTTTTAATGAGACTGAGCGCTGTTGAGAATTCCTCGAGGGTGAGGAAACCATCCCTGTCTCTGTCAGATCTAGTCCTAGAGAGTTGGTTTTGTTTAATATGTATTTATATTCAGATACCTTAATATGATATTAAATGTAAGGAAACTAATTAATTTGAAAGGTTATCAAATATTGAATAGTTTTTGGAGAATATTTGATTCCTATACATCATAGCAAAATAAGAGGTACAGCAGTAAAACTTCAGTTAATATTTACCATATATCTTTTAAAGAGTGGGTAGGAAGATTTGATGTCAGCAGAAAAGCATGTGCAGCTTTTCCTGTGGATGGAAATTAAAATAATGAATAATATCTAATTAAGATTGAGTGATGTTCATTAATACAACAAAAATTATAACTTTAAATATTTAAATGGGACTTTTCAAATATGACTTGATGTACAAAGGAAGAGAAGGAGGATCAATCTTACAACGTACCACTAAGTTTTCCATTGACTGGCCCGAGGGAGTTAAACAGTTGTGCCACTTGTTGTTGATTCTGCATGTTTCTTTAAGAGAAGATAAAGCCTCATCGTCAAGCTACACAATGATTACATGCCCTGAATTACCATTTATCTTGATGGCTTACTTTTCATTTTTCTAAGGGATAATCTTTGTAATTGCTATTTCAAAATACATTATATTCAAAATTATTGTTAAACAATTTTAACCGAATATTAAAAATAAAAACAAATAAAAAGCACAAGTTGTACTCTAAATAACTTCAACTGTTCTAAGAATCATATATGATATGCAACTAGAAATGTTAAATTTCCAAACGTTTTGGGGAAGGGAAGAGGTACAGTAAATTGGGGTACGGTAAATCAGGATTTTACTATATAAGGCAATTAACAAATTATGATGGTAAAAATATGACTAAAAACCCCATTGACAATTCAATAAAAAGTCTCTAAGTTATGATCTCATTGAAAAATGTGAATGTGCAGGTAGAATTGCTCTGTGCAACAAGGTAACCAGGTTAAGGTTATTTCTACTGATGTAATACAAAGAAGAACTATCAATCAAATGCATCATATCTCACTGGCCTAATATCATAATTTAATGCTAATCATACCTAAAATATAAAATGCAATGCACTACTGCACTCAAGATACCTTCTGTGATAATCTGAAGACTGAAAATGCTGTGTGACCACAGAAATACACTAACCCATGTGAAAAGTAAAATGAAATGAATCATACATTTAAAAAAATTGTATTCACATATTTACTGATAAAGTGCTGCATAAAATTAGACTTCATTCACTTATTTACATGTTCTCAGCAGCTAAAGTTTGCCTACTTTCTGTACTAGTTCAGCAATGTTCTCAGCAGTTATTCTGCAGCAGCCCCCTACTATGTGTGCACCATTATCGATCCACTCCATGGCAGCATCAGCAAATTTCCAATTCTTAAATGCCAAATTTGTTTTCCAATGATCTGTTTCACCATCTTTCAATTCTCTGTTGAGGTAAGTTTCACCACTGTTTGGATAAACAACAATAAGCTTATCTTCTGCATTGCATTCTTTAAGTATTTGTTTTATTTTCCCAATGATAGGTGTAACGAGATGAGGCTGGGAGCAGTTAATACCAACACCAGTTACCTGAGGACACTTAGCCAGCAGCTCAATACAAGACGTCACACTGCCACCTGTATCCACTGTTTCTTCATCGAGACAAGTCAATGTAACCCATGTAGACATTGCAGTTTCAGTTAGCAGATCAGCCTTAGCTTTCAGAACATCACAAATAACTTGTACTTCTAACAAATCACCCACAGTTTCAAAGGCCAAAACAGCGACACCGCACACAGCACCATGATGCAAAATATCATCAGCCAACCTGGCATTAAAGTAAGATTGGATATATGAAGCTTCAAAGCCATAACCTTCAACCCTTAAACAATCAGCGCCATCATCATGTTCTCTGTTTGAATTTTCAGCTCTAAAGTTGATTGTTGTAGCAACAGTACCAACAGACATGGCCAATAGTGGTCTGGGAAAATCAACACTTTTCGATGTCCTTGCCATAAACTCATCAATAGCTTCTTTAGCTACATTTATATTTTCAAGGACCCACTGACTTTTCATGTAATTTTGACTACCGCCATCCAATTCTGAATCATATGTATTCGTTGTAAGAATATCAACTCCACTTTCTAAAAACATTGTGTGTACTTTCTTTACACTGTCACGAATATACACTTCATTCAACCTGCGCGGTGCACTCCAAGAATCATACTCATTCAAACCCAAGTTATTCATTGAAGTCCCCATACCTCCATCAAGAATCAAGCAAGGAGCCTTCTGTTGATTTATTAACCGTGCTCCTAATGCAGAAACAAACCTCCCTTTCATTATCTGCAATGTTTCTTACTACAAGAAAAGACAATTTTAATATGAAATTGAATGACATTTACTTACTATTATATGAATTTAAGTGCAATACTTGGTTATATCATGGTAGTCCCAGAAGCTCCTATTGAATGCAAATGTATGGAATAAAAAAATTATTCGAACAACATATACAAATAAATTCAGCAATGGTAATTGTCTAACTATAAGGTTAAACACCTAAAAGTAAACTTCTGTCAATAAATTACTAAATAAAAACGGTATGAAATTTTTTAAAACCAGGGTAGAAAATAAAACCCTCTGTAACTTATAAAATGGTCAACTAAAAATGAAATTCCATAAATTCACATCACAAAAGTTCTAGATACAGTTGGGAGCAAGCAGGCCATAAATGGGGGCACCAGGCCACCATTTTATTAATTTAAGTATTGGTTAATTAAGTAATTAGTTACGTGGCTAATTACTAGCTGAATTCTCGACAATTAATTCCAATCATAGTTGTTAAGGGGGCAGGGGGGGGGGTCTTTATGAAATTTCTCTCGAAATTGATTTTATAGTAAATAGAGGGGAGTGATATCTATCTGCTACTTTTGGTCCCATGGAAAAATATTGTTCCTAGACGAAATTATTGCTGGTCAACGGTCAGCGCTCATGTGTAATTGTATTGCGCGAGCAATTTTCAATCGCGCGCCCTGAAAATCGAGTCTAAAAATCTATCTTCTCCTACATTTTTTGAGCAATCACTTTGAAACTTTCAGGATATGTTCTAAGGACCATTTAGAAGATTTCACTCTTTTTAGAATTTCGAGATAGGCCTTTAAACATTTTTTATTCGATTTGGAAAATCTTGGACCTCTTTTTTTGACGATTTTTCCAGGTCCAAGATTTTCAAAATGGAATAAAAAATGTTTAAAGGCCTAGGATACAAGGATACAAGGATACAAGGATACAAAAGTGATAATTACTTTATTGAGTACACAATAGTTGTAATTCTGAAATAATTTAAGTTACACAATTCTAATTATTTACAAGTGTGTAGGGATAATTTAGAAATGTTATATAATGCTAGTTTTAGAAAAATAGATAAATCGAGTTTGTATGGTTCAATCTTATTTTAAGGTCCTATAGCATTATGCACTTGCCAGTATTTGAGTGGAAATCTGGGCTCTTATAATAGGCTGTATAATTTTCGTTCACAGAGAGAATTGAATGGATTGCTCTTGCTGTGGCAGTGAGTGTGGTAGGATCTAGAGTTTTGTTGGAGAGCAAACCGACTAGGTCAGTAATGTTTAGGGGATGGAAATTGAATTTTTCCCTAACTGAGGAATATAGCAAACAGTCAATCAATACGTGACTTTCGTCCTCAATAGGCTTGAGCCCTTTGCTGAAAAAGCAGTAGGTGCACCAACGTTCTTCTCTTGGTACAAGGGGGGTTTCGTATCTGCCCCTTTCGATGTAGAGGTTGTGGCAGCTGATACGAAACCTTGTCAGACTTTTTCGAACATCAGGTATTTTGATAATTCGTAAATATGCCTCTGGTTCGAAATCATGTTTAATTAAGTTATAGAATTCTAGTTTTGGCGAGGAGGCCTTGGCAGCTTTCCAGGTATTCACGAATTCTTCCCTCATGTTATGACTGATTTGTGTGGAGAGCTTAGATTTTGAGGAAGATGAGGGGGTGACGTTGTATTTGGTGAGAAGCTTTGAGATGTTGGTATACCAAGGAAGTCCCAACATGATTTGTTCGTGAAATGCAGCACAGAGTAGTTCGTTTTCAGTGTTTTCAAGGCGACTATAGTAATCTATTGCAAGTTTGCAGGCTTCAAAGAATAGGGGGTGGCGCCCGCTTTCGCCCCAGCAACCTATATTTGATGCTTTTGAATGTACAGACAAAGACCACTTGATAAACTTTAGGTGGAATTTTTCATAGTGGTCTTGTGCAATGTACTTCAAGGTATGCTGGGGGTTGGCTTTGTCATCTATTTTTGAAAGGTATCTCATGGTTTTTGAGTGGGGGCATAAGACTTGACAGCCATAAAGCAGGATTGGTTTTATTAAGGAGTCAAATAGAATATTAAGGGCACGGTGTGAGAGAGCATCCTTAACTATTTTGCCTTTGAGGCCATAGAGAGCACGGAGAGCCTTGGCCCTCAGCTCAGTATTTGCTGCTGTAAACGATCCATTTCTGTGGAATATTATGCCAAGATAGCAGTATTTATCCGTGTGCTGGATGGGCTGACCTCCCAATGTGAATGTTTCATAGGACTGCTTTCGTTTGGGAGGGCTGAATATTACAATCTTAGTTTTCTTAATATTTACTTCAAGGCCCATGGAGTTACAGAAATCAAATAGAATGTTGATATTGACTTGCAAGGCCTCGGGACTTAGAGCAAGAAGGACAAGATCGTCAGCCCACAGCAGATGTGATATCAGAACGTCAGCAAGAACTGGATAGTCACCAACAGATTTCAGGAGAGATGAAAAGTCATTAATGTAGATTTTAAAGAGGTCTGGCGATAGGGGGTGTCCTTGCTCCGTTCCTTTGCCAATATCAATTTTAGGCGACAAGAGTTTGGAAATTTTTATATGGGCAATAGAGTTTTTGTACATATCACTTAGGCAGTTGAAGAAGTTACCGGTTATTCCAAGGCATGTAATTTTGTGCAGAAGGAGGTCCCTACATACAGTGTCAAAGGCCTTTCTTAGATCAACAAAGCATGCATAAAGACGAGCCTTTTTAGCTTTTGTGTATTTGTCAATTACTGTCTTGAGGGTGAAAACGTGATCGTTAGTTTGGGCACCTTTCGAAAATCCAAGCTGTTCCTTTGGGTCAGGACAGTAGAGCTTTTTGAAGTGTAACAGACATTCAAGTAAGATGCTAGAGAACAGCTTACCCATACAACTGCCAACTGCTATTGCTCTGTAATTGTCTGGGCTGAAGGGGTTGCCTGATTTATAGATAGGAGTGATAATACTGGTATGCCATGGATAGTAGCCTGAGACCAGAGAGTGGTTGAATGTTTTGAGGATGACTTGGAAACAAAGCGGAGTTAGGCTCTGGAGCATCTCGTTTGAGATCAAGTCATTTGAGCAACTTTTACCCTTTTTGAGCTTTTTGATTGCGGAAGTAAGTTCAGAATCAGATATGGGCTTGTTTAGGATGTCCAGATCTGGTGGTTCAGGGTAATGTCTGTGATTGTGGTGAGTGAGATCTGGTTCCTGGTCTGGTTTATTATAGAGGGAAGCAAAGAAATCATGAAAGCTAGCCAGATCGAATTTGTCTAGTAAGGGACTAGTGTCATGTTCTTGTTTTTTTTTATTAAATACTTTTCAAATTTTACAGAGTACAGCAATAGATGAATATAAAATAGAATCGTTCAAAATATCGCCCCCATCTGTAAAATATGATGGGCACCCAAACACGGTAAACACATAGTGAACTATGTCCGCAGTAACTTGGACCCATTACATCGAATTAATCTAAATCCAAAAATTTATGAAAAACTATTTAATAACAAACAAATCCATGGTGAATAACTGTGGATATAGAGTCAAAATTGGTATTTCAATACGTCAAATTCCAGATACATTAGATACAGGTCTGAAATGGTCATTAATGTGTGAGAAGGTGTGCGGGTGAAGTGTGATATGATGTTGAAAGTATAGGAAGGTAGATAAAAAAATTAATAAAACAAAAATAATAATAATATGGGGAGCAAAGACACTAGGCTAGACTGTTGTTTCACTATCCAATAAACATTTCCATAGATGCTTAGTTACCTCAGCTTTGAAAAGACTAGTAGACACAATCTGTCTTACCTGTAAAGGGAGTCCATTCCACAGTATATGGGTTCTGTAGAAAAATGATTTTGCCAGTGGGCTATTTGAGGTACATGTGGTGTGTGAATTCTGACTTAACTTAGGTAAAATTGATGACACAATAGACAGACTGTCGAGGTGGCAACGTCTTAGTCGAGAAGTGCCCTGATATAAAGAGAGATAGTGAGGCAGCGATACAGGAATTAAATTGTTAAGAACTTTGTGGAAAAAAATAAGATCATTCAAGTCAAACTTTTGAGACAAAGGGAGAATGTCGACAAGCTTGCACTTTTTGACATATTGCTCAGGTGGATAACTGCAGCCCTCTTCAGACAGAATCCATTTAATAGCTCTCTTTTGGAGACTTTCTAATTTATCACTAAGTGATTTATTACAAGGGCGCCAGATTATGGAACAATTTTCGAATTGGCTACGAACCAGGGAGAGGTAAAGCGCCCGGCGACGTTTCTGATCAATGACAATATGGCCATCTCTTCTGACCATACCAAGTTGTTGGCAGGCCTTAGTATAAATTCTGTCGCACTGACTATTCCAACTTAGCTTAGGAGTAACATCGACTCCAAGATCTTTTTCTAACTCTACATACACAAGAGGAGAGCCATCAAGATTATATGCGAATGGAGGAGATAAAGATGGTTTTCCTGAAACAATAAGCACTTTACATTTTGCTGGATGGAATCGCATTTTGTTTCTTAGTGCCCAGTCAGAGAGATAGTCTATATCCATTTGTAAATTAGTATTATCAGAAGATGAATGTATTTTACGCCAGATTTTTGTATCATCGGCATACAAAACAATATCAGTATTATCCGAAAGGCCAAGAGGAATATCATTGATAAACAATACAAAAAGTAAGGGACCAAGAATAGAGCCCTGGGGGACACCAGAATTAACTGAGAGGGTAGATGACTTTTAAATTTTTTCCAGTCAAGAATATGACCCTCTTCAATAGCTTCATTTAGCTTCCTAAGAAAGGACCTATCTCGAAATTCTAAAAAGAGTGAAATCTTCTAAATGGTCTTTAGAACATATCCTGAAAGTTTCAAGGTGATTGCTCAAAAACTGTAGGAGAAGATAGATTTTTAGACTCGATTTTCAGGGCGCGCGATTGAAAATCGCACTCAGGCCACTCCCAGGGGCCACGCCCATCCCAAAATCAGTGGCGTAACGTAAGGCCCCGCAGA